TAGCTGTTTCCACAGATTTATTTAACCTGTGGGTGTTTATGATATAAACTGGCAAAAATTGATTTCATCAAACACTAAGACATCATCATCAGAATGTACGGCTTTAATTTTGCTATGAAATCTTTTTATTTATGACTTTATTGTTGAATAATATATTTATACAACCATATTTAGTCACTGCATCCTCATTGCCTTTCCCCATTTTATTATTTGAAAAACAAAAACGGTAATTTTTGTAAAATAGACAGCTTATTTGGACGAAAAAACAATGAAACATTAATAAATCATAATCCACTATTAGCTGGTATTAAATGGCTGGCTTAAATGCTGTTTACAGCTCAAGAAGAAATCTCATTGTTCAACACAAAGCAGTGTTCTGAGCTTCATCTCTCTTACTGGTGGAGCAGCTCCACAGATGGACTGCATCAATGAGCTAAATTCAAACCAGCTGCGTGGACACATGTACTGTGAACCCTGCATGTCAATAAAAATATTTCCAGACATGAGATAACTTGTTTTGTAATGGTACAAAAACTTTACATCTGGCATTTTAGCAGGTGTGAGGCATTAAAAAAAAGACACCTACCAAATGTTAGTTGAATTTTCCCTGTGAAGACAGGAGGCATCAAAATCATTTTTTTAATATGCTGGGCATCAATACCCAGCTTTTGTCTTGTTTTCTTCCCTTACAACGGTCACCTTTAGTGGATGTAGTTCTTGGGAATGTTGACCTATTGAGGAGTAAGTATTGAACAGCTAAGACATTTAGCAATTTGAAATGCCTTTAAAATTCCAGCATTCTAGCATCTTGGATTCCTTCTTAATGCCTGATTTAAAAGATATCTCTGACATACTTGGGAATATAAGAATTGAAAGGAAATTTACAAGGTAGCAAAGTAACGTTACTCACTAATGCCACCTCCCTCCATTGGCTGTCTTCTGTCTGCTATCTACAAGTTTTTCTTATGCAACCAAGCTGATAAGCTCAGTGCAGAGGAAAAATAAACAGTAAAAAGCATCTGCAGAATTCACAGAGACTTACAAAAACAAAGCAGGCAGTATCTTTGATCCGTGTGTCTGTTAAGGTTTCCTTGAACTGAACTTAGCCCCTACCAAAGTTTAGAGAGATAATAAGTGCATGCAATGTGAACTATACAAAAGAGTGTAAAATCTGTTGAGGTCACAGTGATGCAGCACTTTGAGAGTGTACAGCTTCCTTATTCTTGTATGTTTGGGAGGGGGGGTGCTTAAAATCAGCATGGGAGGGTAAGTACTCCTTCCATGCATCCATACAGTTATCCCTAGGGTGAAAGGTGGGGCACACTCATTTCAACTTTTTAACTTTAGTTACTCTCTCATTTTATGTGTGGGGTTTTTAAAAAGTATTATAGTTGGTGTATTCTGGTTCAGGGTCACTTTTAAGTGACACACTTCCCATCTTGGAGTCACACATTTAACAGCATGTCTTCGGACATGATGCGATTTTATTAGGGTTTGGATGCAGCGATTGAATGACGACATCCACTAAAACAGTTGCCTGAGAGTTTACAGGCATACCAGAAAGCATAGATCAGACATCACGGTGAATGAGAGCATCGGCGAAAAAGCTGCATCAAAACGCGGTTATTTAACAGTTAACACGACAGATCAACTGGCCGGGTGTGACAGTGCTGCTTCCACTACACCAACACACAGGAAGTTGATAACGACTATTGTTTCCTGTCACTGAGTCAAAACGGCAGCTGTTTCGGTTCAAACCACAAACATTAGTTCACAACACGGACCAGCTGTAAGTCTGCGGACAACGAGTCCTAAGATTATTTCAGTTGCTATATGTGATTAAAAATGAATTTTCTTGTCTTCTCTTGTCACAAACAAATTACCACATCGTTATCAGTGTATAATTAGATAATTTAATAATTTAGATAAAGATGAGGCTCGGAGGAGGGGGAAAAGGATTCGGATGAAAAACCGCAACTGCAGCAGGTTGAATGTGTCAAATACACTCACATCCTTTGTTAGGTAAAGACACACCCGTGTTGTTTCCTGGTTGGCTACCCTGTCCTCCAGTGCCTCTTTTTTGTACTCTTATTGGTTAAGACGGAAAATCTGTCAAAACGGAAGTCCCGCCCTGTTCAAACATCAATGAAAAGTGTACGGGACCTCCTGAGTGAAAGTAAAGTCAAGCTAGAAAGGAAAGAAAGAAGAGATGAGGCAAGTCCGGAAGTAATGAAACTGTTTTTTCACAGTAAAAGCGCCAGATGAGCCCAAATTGTTGGAAAAGATTAAATAACTGCAGTGTCGTGACTAGTTAACACCAGGCTCCAAGTAAGATAGTTAAAGCAGGTCTTTCCATCACAGTGTATCTTTTATATGTCTTTGAGGATTATAAATTGATAGACATACTGATTTTGACCAATAATAAGCATACCCAAGTGTTTACAGGTGTGTACAATAAATACTGTTTTGGTTAATTAATGTGCTTACTGTGCCCATGTTTACTATTTCATGCCAAAATAGCTATAGTCAGCAGAACCAATCATTATTAGTCCAATACCTCACCTTTCACTATCTTGGGTTCTGTGATGAAGCAGCCTCATCAGTCTTTAAAAGTAAATATTTTTGTTGTCTTTTCCTTTTAAAGTCCTTTCTGAGACCGCTTTTTTTTGGTTTTACTTCTTTGTTGCTTTGGAGTGCCAGGAGTGCCAGAATTAAATTAATATATACATTGTTAAATAATTATCTGAATGTGTCATTAATTCATTAAGATGGAACTGTCACTTCAGCAGTTGAGCGCAGTGACAGTTTGATTTGTTTGTCTAAAAACACAGATCCCCAGGCTAATTTTAAAACTTCAGATCACATCTTAATATTTTCACATGGAAAACTAGTGAATGGACGACATTGCTTACTTCAGACCAGCACTGGCCACGCCCCAAAATTAGGTAATAATTTTAATAAACATGAGCGCAAGAGAGAGGAAGACACTCTACAATGAGCTGAAACATTCACTTCGTATTAATTCCTGCGTATACAATTTTTATCATTCATATTGTGTCACTTTGTATGTCCCTCGTGATTTCATCGCCCCCTTCACTCTGGCGTGTGCCACTGCAGTATTTTTAGTGGCCACCCCTATGAAAAAATCCTAGAGGCTCCCCTAGAGTTTAAAACAAAAAGTCAATTTGTAATTTATCACATAGATTTTGAAAATACATGCACAAGTATTTAAATACTTCATCATACCGACACAAATAAGACCCGACTCATTAGTGGGCAACGTACATGTTTTATTTTGAAATGCCCAAACGGAAACTATCGACTTGATTCCGGCGAAATTATCACCTGTGCGGAGTAGAAGCAGGACCCCCAAAGGGAAATCAGTGAGGGCAGCAGGATTTGTTTTACATTTTTCCGGCACATTCTCCCTGTTGTCTGTGTTTGGATTTGACAGTTGTTGTTTTTTTTTACGAGAAGCACGTCTGGAAAGAGAAAACGTTGAACACAAAAATGGAAATAGAGAGGGAGCTAAAGAAGGTAAGCTTTGCCCCCGTGGTCTTCGTGGATATCTTGCTCAGTTCGGGGAACGCCCTTAAGGTGTGCAGAGCAAGGGACAGGTGGCAGAAAAGTTACAGTACTGTAGGTTATTTTACAGTTTTAAGTTTCGGTTTTAATTTTGAGATATTAATGGTCTTTATTTATGTTTTTTTTTTTTTCAATTAAAATGTACTTAGTTCGCTTAAATACGCTTATTTCACATCCTTGGGTAGTTGATATTGCCGGAACAAACTCACGTCGATCGGTTTACAAACTTGGAAAACATAGGTCGCGCCCTTAGTTACTTCCCTTTCAGAATAAGTTCCGATGTAAGAAACTGCGTTTGAAATGTGACAAAGTCTCACTCTGCGTATCAACCAAACCCCCAACCTCTGTAACTTAATAGCGGAACAGCTTGACCCATTAACGGACCCATTTTACGTACAAAGTCGTCCTCCTTGTTCAGGGTTTTGATACTGTATTAATCCGCGGTGCTCAGCGTCCTCGGCTCTCTATTAAGTGGAACAAATCACTATGACAGTAAAATGCAAACCAGCTGTGATAGTTAATTTGTCCATAAGTAAATGTTGCCGTTACAGCTGCCGAATAGAGTGTTGAACTGTCAGCAGGGTTTCAAGAATATTAAGGCTCATGTCACTCATAATGCACTTGAGACTCTAAGCCAGATGCATCAAAATCGAATGTTTTTTAAATAGAGTTTGGCCATCCAAGGGAGAAGACAAAAGTTAAGAGTCAGGACAGGCAGGAAACCCTTTTACAGTACACGCTTTGTCTAGTGAATAGTTATTCATTCATCATCATGGATCACTGTAGATACTCGTTGTTGGCATTCACTAGATTCCTCTTATGCACCCCTTCTGCTTAGTTTACTTATGGTCCATAGATAATCTGTATAAATAATTCTGTTTGAGGAATCCAGGTTTATGTAGTGAATACACATGAATATCAACCAGTCAGCATTTTCCATAGAAGCTATTATAACCTCTTAAGTAGTTTAGGAAAAGAAAAATTCATTTTAACATATGTTAAAGCTTTTGTAGTTATCAGAATCAAACTATATGGATTATTATTATTATTATTGTTGTTGTTATTTATTATGGTTATTGACAAGTTTGTACACAAACAATGATTGTGTTTTGGTGGCATGGTGCAAAAACATTGGTACTGTACTGTTAATTTATGCTACTAAGTTAACTTGAGCTTTGGGGTCGTTGCACAGACCTGCAGAGATTTGGCAGCAGTGAAGGTGGTTACACAGACTGGTGGTTTGTTTTGTATGAGTTATTAAGCTGCAATTTTAATGTCTTCAGCCACTTGTAAAAATATGGTTTACATTTTTTCTGCATTAAATTTCAGAGCTTTCAGCTTCACTCTGAAAAATTGACTAAGAGTGAGAAATTTACAGGACAAACAGTGAAGACGAGGGAATCCTCTGCTTAAATCGGTCTGAGCAGCTGGATAACCCAGACAGACAGTCTGACATCTGCCTGTAATCCCTGGGGGAGATCAGCCTGCCACAGCAAGTTCACAGAGATGCTGCTGTGATCTGTGTTGCGCTTGTTCAGGAAATGTTACCATTGTGTTTAGGTGATATCATACTCAATTAAGGTGCTGCATTCTACTTAACAGAACATCTGACGTAATAGGCTGTGACTATAGGGTCGCGGTGTACAGCACTGCCATTCTGCTGACTCTTAGAAGTCTGTGGAGGTCTGGCTAGGTTTATTTCTTACCTAAACACCTAAACCATCATTAAAGCTTTCATATGACTTTGTGGTAGAAATAGAACCACACCAAAGGATTTCTCTATTTGTTTAAATCCTGCTGTGATTACAGTGTTATGAACTGAATTTCAGTTCAAGCCAGTGAGTCATGAAACCAATTAAAACAACAACAGTAAGCGAACTGAAAAATAGTAATATCTTTTATGACCGTATTCCACCTTTACAGGGGAAGGTTTGGCTTAAAAATAGAAAAAGTTGTTCATTAATTTAAGGGTGGTTTGACTGAAACGTCCTTGACACCGTCTGTTATTTAAAGCATTAGAAACAAGATGTATACATGTAAGTAATTGAACATTCTTTTTAAAAAATATGTGTTTTACATATTTTACATCATCTTCATGATGTTACAGAAACTGTGTCCAGTGTCTGAAAGTAGCTGGTCAGCTCCAGTTAAAGCGACTACTTCCTTGCCACTGGCCTGCATCTGCCCTTCTCCAGTAAAGTGACTCATGAACTATGAGTCACTGGACCTGAATCATAGACTTTGTGTCTAAACTGGCTTGTAGCAAAAGTGTTGTCACCAAAATTAATCACCCCACAGGCTTAGTCATGAAACAAAGTCATTGATTAACTTGAAGTGTGAATCCAGATGGTGCAGCTGCCTTCCAGGGAAGCATACATACATGCTGAATGAGCTCTGCCAAAAACAGTCGTCCTCTCTATGCTTGAGATAAATATTTAGGCTTTCAACCACTTAGCCTGTCCGCCCTTAAAGCATACCAATAAACGTTTGCATTTGCAAAGTTGAAAATGATGTTTCAGTTGGTAGTGTAAAATGACATTTTAAGTAATTTGTTCTTTTGTCTCAAAGTTCAAGTACTTTCTGCGAGAGCCTGAACATCTTTGTAGTACCATCTGAAACCCCCTGAGAATCAAGGACTGGAAGTTAGCAATGGATGCCTGCACACCTTTGTAATCTTGTTTACTTTTTCATAATTCAGGTTAAACTTTTTATTTAGACAACACTGCTTTCCACAAATATTTCTGCATCAGTATTAAAATGCAAGTAAAATCATACTCAGTCCTACCCCAAAAGAATCGTGCTTAATTACACAGAAACTCTCATCTTCCCTAGTTCCCTGTGACAGGCTACTCCAGGCTGCTCCTAAAGTTCTGTTTAAGCTGCTCATTGCAAAAGACACAGGAGGCGAGTACATCTTACAGTTTAACTAAGATTTACTGATGTGTTTGGTACTTTCTAGGACCATGCTGGAACAACTTATAATTGGGCTTCTTAACATCTCCCAGAGGACAAACGTCTCATTCTGGAAATTGTGGTGAATGCTAAAAGTCTGGCATCAAAGCTTCACTTATAAACAGGAGCCACTATCTGTCTGCATTTCTCACTCATGTACACATTAAGCCATTAGGATGGTTTGTGACCATATATAGGCAACTATTCAATAACACTAAGAGGCTGGTGGGATCCCATCAGGCACCCTGCTGTCAAGAGATGTTTTTGACCCAAAAAGACATTCTCTGCTGAGGAATGCAGACAGACAGTGACTGCTGTTTAAAAGTGAAACTTGCAACAATTTCCAGAGTGAGACTTAATTCCCCTGGGAGATTTTAAAAAGCCCAATTTAAGTTGTTCCAACATGATTTATGGTGGTACTACAAAGTAGCAAAACGTAAATCTCATTTAAGCTGCTCCTGCTCTGTCTTCAGTAGGAATCTCCCTGCAGTGGGATCTACAATCTTCCAAGACCTGAAGTGGGCGTCCAGCATAGACAAAATGATCAAAAGGCCCAACAGAGGATGTCCTTCCTGTGTTAGTTCAGGAAGTTCAATCTGCCTCAGGCACTGTTGATCAAAATGTACTCTGCAATACTTAAGTCTGTTCTTTGCACATCAATCATCAAACGGACAGTTGGGACTGCAGAAAAAAAAAAAGATAGGCGCAGATTTTCTCTCGATTCAGGATTTCAAGACAAATCCAGAATCAGACAAACATCATACCCTGGACACAACAGGTTCCAACTCCTCCCCTCTGATAGGCATTACAGAGCACTGTACACCAAAACAACCCATTTGTTGTAAATATCTATGTACTTTATTTATTCATATAATATGCTGTCACATTCCCATATAAGTAGGCACTTATTTGTTTCTTACTCTTTCATAAGTTGTTCCAACATTGTTGCACTCTGATCTCTTTGCAACAATGCAAATATAAATATGTTAAACATGTTATTGTCTCTGTCATGTTGCTATTGTCTGTTTGTCTGTCCTGTTAATTACATAATAAATAAATAAATAAACGGGGCCCAATTCCTTGTATGTGTACATATACTTGGCCAGTGAAGCTTATTCTGATTCTTCTCCCACAAGTATCATCAGAAACTTTTTCCCTCATTTAAATACCATGTTCTGCTCAATAGAAAATAAAAGACTGACAGTATGTGTCATTTCCTTTGTGTGCTTTATTTACAGGTGACGCTTGGCCATGAGTTTGGTGCTGGAGCTGCCTGTTTGAAATGCAAGGACAAGTGTGAGGGCTTTGAGCTGCATTTCTGGAGGTTTGAACAGTTCCTCTGCACATCATCACAGTTTCACAAGTTTCCTTTTCTTTGCTTCCTGTGTCCAAACTGCTGATTAAAGAGTGAGTCACTGTTGTCTTGAGCAAAGCTGTGAACTCTTCAGTACAACTTTAGTTTAACAAAAATAAACAAACAAAAAATAGTGTTTAGTAAGGTTCAGTCAACAAACACCATATTTTAGTGGTTTTTGGGCTGAATGATAATAAACAAAATATATCTCCTTATTTTCATGCAATGGGTAAGATGTCTTAGGCAGGAGTATATCTCTTGTATATCTCTTTCTGATAACTATTCTTTCTGATAATAATAATTCTGATAATTAGTGTTTGACTTCTGAAATGCTTTTCTTGCATTGAAGGATAATATATTTCCTTTGAAATGAAGTTGTTCACCCTTGAGAACTACAGGCAGCGTATTATTTATAGTGGATGGTAGGTGACACGCCTGCTAACAGACAGGAGTAAGAGCCTGCGCTGAAGATAAGCGCTGGTGTGGTCATGGTCAGCATTTTAGTCATCTACAAGAAATAATTACTGCTTTAGCTGTATCCCATGTTTGCAACATTTTCAGTGCTTTATGTGCTGTTGGAAAACAATGAAAGCAGCATTGCTCTTGTAAAAGCTGCCAAAGTTCTTTGATAAAACACTTTTACCTCATAACAACAAAGAACTTGCTGATTATTTTTGTTGTTGGTTTACTTTGGCATTTATTCAATTCTCTCAGATCCAAACTAACATGTTAAAACACATCGGCACACCAAAAACTCCAGAAACTATTCTTTGTAATGTAGAATCTACTGTTTTAGTGAAATGAGATTGGTGGCTTTGGAAATGAGCAGTTTCTTTCTTTGTTTGACTTATACAGTAGAAATGACATACTGTTTGTCAGCTGTTGCCATACTTGTAATTATAATATTTACTCAGAGCTTAACTTTGAAGCTTAGTTTATTGTTGAGCTTGCGGTGCAGGACGGCAGTAAATAGAGATGGAGCTGCATGAGATGGTAATTGTAGTAAGAGGAGAAATGCAGACTCTTTACAAAAAATTTGATGCAATATTAAGCTATATTTATATAAAATATGGACTTTCCTCCTGTAGCTTATGTAGAAATATATCACTATATATTTTAAAACTCAACTCAGTAATGTTGAATACCATTATGAATCAGAACAGTCATTTAAAAAAGCATGCTTTTTCTGCATGACAACAACATTTCACTCATTGACCCAGTCTGCCAACTTCCCAGCTTGCTTAATTAAAAGGATTCCTATAGCAGCAGGAGCCATCGGCCTAATGGGAACATGCTGTTCTTGAGAATAGAATTTAGTCTAATGCGGCCGGGGCTGAATTTTTAGCAAAGTTTTTATCATAATTCTATGAAGACGCTATAATTAAAGGTTGTCACCTGCCCTCTTAAGCCAGAAGTTAGACTTTTGATTGTAGAGCCTGTCATAATCATTTATTATAGTTATACAGTGTTTTTGTAAATATAAAGTTAATGAGTCTTAAACAATCAAGCTAGGTAAACATAATCTAAACAAAACAAAACTCGATTGTAAGTCATTTCACTTTATGTGTGTCAGAGGACTGCTGTATAAAAATACAGCAGACACTTTTTTTTTTTTGTTGCAACACTGATGAAAATACCTTTCATTTTTTTTAAAATGTGTTATTTATCCCAAAGTTGAGAAGCTCTTTTTCTTCATCAGTTTTAAAATGAAGTTAAAAAAAACATAAAGAAAAGAGAAGATATTTTTCTATTTCTGTGTTACAGAGCTTTCATCTGGTTACTTATGAACAAAATAAGTGCTTGGAAAAGACAAAGCCGTCTGCCATTTAAAAGTGGCCCAATGACATCTTAATATAAATGCTGTCATTATTACACATTAAACTGGCTTTATTCGACTGAAAGTATTGCCTATTCCACTAAAATTCTGAAGGCCTGTTTGGGCTGGAGCATGCCTTCTAGTTACAAATTATGTCATAGTTATATCAAAAGATGTGTTGAGGCACGATAAAAATGCCGGTAGTTCAGTTTTAACACAGAACGTATTGTGTTGGTATAATGGCATAGGAGTTTTTATTTAATATTCTAAAAATAGAGGGAGGTGAATGAAGTGAGGATTTATTCAAGTTTATCAAATATACCAGCTATGAAGAAGAAAGTGTAGTTAAAAAAACTGAGACATTGCTTGTTTAGTTTGAATAAAGCAATGGTAATTTATTAGTATCAAGGTTTAAAAAGTCAAAGTCCTGAACATTTTGTTAAATTCTTCTTTGCAGAAAGATATGCCGAAACTGCAAATGTGGCCTCACAGAGCATGATGTGGCGATGAACTCGGAGGAGAACAAGAAGGTAGGCAAGCTGTTTGAGGACACCAAGTACACCGGCCTCATCGCCAAGCTGAAGACGGATGGGATCCCCAGCTACCAGGGCAACATGGTGACCATCACTTTGCCTAGCCCTGCCACTGCTTACACGGTACCACCCAGTGCGACCTCTACTGTTGTGCCCCCTTCTGCCAGAGCCGGCTCTGTGTCGTCGTCTGCCACAGCTGGTCCTGTATCCCCGTCTGCCACAGCTGGTCCTGTGTCCCTGTCTGCCACAGCTGGTTCTGTGTCCCCGTCTGCCACAGCTGGTTCTGTACCCTCAGCTGGAGCCTCTGCAGGTTCGACAGGCATTGGGGTTCAGGGTCAGGCTCGGGTTCAGTCTGTACCAGCCAGTGCCACACCAGTCAGGGCTAGCAAAGTGCCAGTCACTGTCAGTGCCACATCAGCCAACGTAGTGCCAGTTCCTAAAGATGTACCAATGAAGACTGTCACCTATGAGTGGGCACCACCAGTGGCTAACAAGTACCTGGTAAGAGTTCATATTAGTTAGAAAATAAGTTTTCAAGTCTAAATTGAGTTGTTTTTTTTTTTGTTTTTTCATTCCCCACCCTCATAAAACCCCAAAAAGCATTTAAGCATTATCATATGGTAAAGGATTTATTGGTATAAAAAAATTAACATATTAATAGATAATATTCCTGCCTTGATCAGGAAGTATTGGTGGTATTGCATCATTTAAGATTTGGTAATAGGCAAAAACACATGAACCATAGATCGATGTAGGTGTAGTCAACTAAAAAATAACTTGCCTCTTCCTTTATGATACTTTCCTGTAACCTTGTGCTTGTCTCCAAAGTGAAATTTAAGGCAAGATGTTACCATTTTAACACACTGGAGGAGTGTAGATGGTTAGAATTAGACTTCCTGGCATTGTTCAGGTGCACAGAGAAAGATGACCTTGAAGGGGAGATTAGCCGAATCATTTTTGTTTGTTTATGCCTCCTAAAGTTCAAGGTATTAGAAAACCCTTGGCTAGCTACTGCAGAACAGAAGGTCTGCACATTTGATGTCACTGAATCAACAGTTTTTTGTTTGTTTGTTTTTGTTTAAGTCTTTTTTTGTTTAAAAGGTCTGTTTTTTCTCAGTAGCAATTCTTTTTCAGAAATATGTTACAAAATGTTCTTTTATTCAGTTGTCTTAAATGTGTGGCAGGGACTTTTGAAGCACTGGTGATTACAGTAAAGAGGATGTCATTTTTAATGCCAGCATCTCTCACCACCACATTAATCTTATGTTTGACATTAACTCAACTTTATCATCTTTTGTTTAGTCTGTTTTTGTATCTGTCCCATGTATTCCTTGTCTTCTCACTAAAAAACAAAACTTCACTTTCTTTCTGGTTAGTCTATATCTAATCTGTCTCTCTGGTCTTCTTCTGGTTGTCCTTCGCATTTTTCTTCATTCCCTCTGAGGTGACTCTTTTATTGTCTGTCTCTCTGTAGGCTGTGCGTTATATTGAGTTGCTCCCACCAGAGAAACGCCCAGTGGTTGGTACAGAGGGAGCTGCTTACCGTCGGCAGCAGATGGCCCGACAGCTACCTGAACACGACCAGGACCCGTCCAGGTGTCATGAGCTGAGCCCTGCTGAAGTCAAGCTGATGCAGCAATACGTTCGCAAGTACAAGGATGAAGCCCTGGGGGTTGGAGATGTCATGCTGCCTGAAGAGATGGCTCTGGTTCAGGCAGGAGGGCTGGGTGGATCTGGTGTTGGGGCTGGAGGGGCACCTAGTGCAGGAGGGGCTGAGTTTGGACCTAGAGGTGGTGCTGCTGCTGGGAGTATTGGTGGAGGTGCTGGCTATAAACCAGAGGCTGGGGTTGCTGGAGTTGGATTTGGTTCAGGGCCTGGAGCTGCAGGACCTGGTGTTGGGGCTGGAGCTGGTGGTGGTTTTGGACCTGCAGCCGGTGGAGTTGGAGCCCGTGGTGGTTTTGGACCTGCAGCTTGTGTAGTTGGAGCTGGTGGTGGTTTTGGATCTTCAGCTGGTGGAGTTGGAGCTGGTGGTGGTTTTGGACCTGCAGCTGGTGGAGTTGGAGCTGGTGGTGGTTTTGGACCTGCAGCTGGTGGAG